TTAAGGCAGTAAATGAATCACAGGGCTGTAAAAGGGACCAATCACATTTGGCTCCGCCCTCCAAAAGGTCAAAAGTCAGACCAATTGGAGCAGCAGAGTTGTGCTGCACCTGTGAGCACAAACTATTAGCTCGTGACCCCCCCCACACACACACACCACCCTGATGTTGGGCACACTGTGGGTGGCTCACAGTGACTTTCAGTGCTCAGCATCCCACAGGCTCCTGTGTGTGTGTGAAATCAGCGGCCTCGGAGTCACACTGAGCCACCCTGCGCCTGCCCAGATGAGGCTGAGCACGTGCAGCCTCCGAGGATGACTCATGTGATGATGGAGGAGCTGCTGAGCTCCTGCAGGAGGTTCACGTTCAGCTCCCTCTGAGGAGGAGGATGAAGATGAGCCCGTTTGTTCTCGTGGGTACTCACTCGTCCGGGCGCGTGTCCTCGCTCATGTTTCCCATTTCACCTCCGGTCATAAGGAGCTCCCACCGCGGCGGCGCGCGCGGTGCTCATGTTTCCTTAGCAGGAGCAGCGGCCCGGTCCTCCCCCGCTCCCTCCGCGCCTCCTCGGCGTTAATCCCGGTGAGTGTTCCCCCCCAACACCTCCTCCTCCTCCCAGTCCTCAATCAGTGGAGCTCATCCAGTCTCCTTCACCTCCTCCACCTCCGCCTTTTTTGCCTCCTCCGTCACCTCCTCCCCCACCGGAGCGGGCTGGAATGCGGTGACCGAAAATGGAGCGCTGGTGTCGGTGCGGATGGCCCCGGACGAGCCCCATCTCCTCATTTCTCCATGTTGGATTCAGAGTCAGACGGAGAGGAGCGGGAGGGGGCGGGGGAGGGGTGACGTCAGACCCGAAGGACTGCAGAGTCACGTGGCGTCACCGTATAATAATAATAATAATAATAATAATAATAATAATAATAATCGTTTACATGTTTCATGTGTTTAACGGTCTGTTTGAGTCTTAAGTGCAGATATTTCATTTTAAAAGCTGAGTTACTCTTCAAAATAAGAGCCCCAGTCTGCTTCCAGCCTGTGGGCACATTAACAGAAGTCTGTGCTCCAGTGCCACCAGGTGGCCGAACTGTGCAACTGTAGCGTTGTGTGTGTTAATCAGGTTTAATCTGGGGCCGATTAATGAAGCAAGCGCTGAAGCGCCAAACCTGCAGTTCCTCTGATGTCCAGCAGAGGCAGCAGTGAGTCGGTCCTCATAGACTCCATGTTAAAACAAACATGTTTACATCCTGATACTCAAACTGTTTCGTCTCTGTAAAACATTTCTGCCTTCATAACACCTGAGGATGCTTTTACAACTCACCCGTTTCTATTATTAGGGGCGTGGCTTCTTTGACTCACAGGTGAATGGTGACACAGGCGGCTGTCTGCTGGCTTCACCTGAGCTGGACCTCTGGACCGTGTTTGTGGTGTTGGAGCATTATTAATGACACCATGTGACCAATAACATGGCTGCTGTGAGGTTACTGTGCTAACAGAGCGTCCGGGGAGGCGGAGCTCCAGTTTGGGTACTCAGAGATTTGGGTGGATGAATCCACAGTTTTCACAGTTCCAGGAACATATTTCTGGGCCAACAGGCAGCTGTGTGATCTTTGCAGCACATTTCTGTTTTTAATAGCTCTAAAAATATAAATTCATTTAATAAAAGCAGCTCGATCATTGTAAAATGTTCACAGATGAATTTATTATTTTTATTCTGAATAAACATCCGTTTATTCAGAATAATAAACGGATTATAAACTTATAAACTGAGGAGAACGTGAGTGTTTGGTGGGTGGTCGGAAATAAACGAAGCTGTGAGGACGGACGGCGAACAGCAGAGGGCGCAGTGGGCCAGCAGATCAAGCTTAGGGTTGCTTTGTTTTGACGCATGCTCAATCATCCAGGTAAATAAATCCCAAAAGTTTGAATGCGTTCACCTGGATGTTTCGTCATCGTCACTCTTCAGAGTCAGCTGACTGCAGGTTAAACATAAACAGGACACAATGAAACTGGGATTTCTTTAGTTTTAAACTTAAAACCGTTTTAATGACGTCAGAACGTCACACGGGCAGCAGACCCCGCGCGCGCAAAGTCTGACGTCAGTAGAGTCGCGCACGTGTAAGGGGAAGGAAGGTGCACGGTGTGTTTGGGGAAAACTTTCACTTCAGAACTGCTCCGGTGACGCGCGTCCCCGTGTCTGTTTGACAGCCGCGGGCACGCGCAGGAAATCTGCTCCTTTAAGTGGGGGGGAGCGGCCCTCCCTCCTCCCCCTGCTTGGCCTCCTCGCGGAGCTGCGATGGGGATTTGAAGGCTCGGAGCTCCGCGGGCGGCTCGGCGTCACCTCAGCGCCGCTTTGGAGTCACCGGATCGGACCGGCCGCTCACCGATCCGCCGCTCGGTCTGCTGGAGCCGGAGGCGCGGAGCAGGACCGCGTGTGTCCGCGGAGGGACCCCGCTCCTGCTCGGGCTCGCGCTGTTAGGCTCGCGGACGGGATTCGGGATCCGGTACCGGGACTTGGATGCGAGTTTGGCCCCGCGCGAGGCAGCGGGAGCCCGCGAGGAGAGCCGGGGCCGATGGCGCAACGGGTGGGTATAAACGGAGCGCGGAGGCACGCGCTGCTTTCAAGAAAACCCCGCGCGACGCTTTTCATCAAAGTCGCCGAAAAACAAAGAAAAAGTTTCCGAAACTAAAAAAGTTTCACCGCGAGAAACGTGACCGTGGAAAAGGTCACGAGGAAATAAAAATACCGTTTTTGCTTCCTTTTAATTTTACACGTTAAAAGTTTTGTTTTATTTTATTTTTAAAGATTTAAAGTCTCATTTTAATTTAATTTAGTTTTTAAAGCGCAGAATGAGAAGTGCGGATGTTTTCATTGAGCTGCTGCTTCACGGAGATAAATCTGATATCCGAGATTATTCTAAATAAAAACAAATTCTTTCCTTTTATTCTTTTTTTGTTTTTTTGAACGAACGAGAATTTCGTTTCGTTTTGTCTTTTTTTCAAACTCCGAAAATTAAAAAGAACGAAAACGGAAATTATTTAATAAAAAAACGTTTTTTTCATTAGTTTATTTTAATGTTCTTCTATTTTTAACAACGACATTAAAAATACCAACAATAATAATATTATTATTAATATTAATAATAATAATAATAATAATAATAATAATAATGGTCCTTTAATTCGAGAAAACTGTAACTTTTATTAAATTATTTTAACGCTGAATCATAAACAGATTCTTGCTGACAAACTTTGGTGAAACTTCATAAATTGAATCTTTTGCTCAGGATTATTTTTATGATTTGTAATTTTTTTGTGATCCGAAGTTTTTTGTGATTTTTTTCAAACCTTTTTTCAGCTGAGTGTTTGTGTTCATAATATTTTGGCCACAGCCTGTGTGAGTTGCTGCAGTTTTGATGCACGTAAACGTGGGTGGACAGAATAATAGGAACACCTGTTGAGTGAAATCTGACGTGACTCAAACTTTGAGTTTTGGGGCTGAAGCGTCTCCAACATCTGGGAAAACGTCTGGATCGGAGCAGGGGGTGGACAAAAAAACAGGAACACCTGCAGTTGCTGTTTTTCAGCTTTTCTGATTTTTCTGTCTGACCGGAGCAGGAGGAGGTCAAAGGTCACACCTCTCTTATCTGTGTTTCAGTATGAAGAGCTCGCCCACTACGGGCTGGAGGTGGTGGGGGGGGTGTATGGAGACCCTCCCCACCACCACCCTCACGCCGCTGCAGCTGCACGTTCCCTGCAAGCCGTTCACCTGGCCACCGCCACCGCCACCTATCCTCCACACCACTACGCCCAGTCCACCCACAGCAGCGGCGGCAACATGGCCGCCACAGCCGGGGACGCCATCAAGAGGGACAAAGACGCCATTTACGGGTAAGGACGTGTTCACGGTTTAACCACACAGGAGCTCATTCAGCAAGTTCACACACACACACACACACTGACGCTGACCCGCTAACGATCCATCGTCTCTGCTGCAGTGTTTCTGTTTGTGTTCAAATAAACTCGTGCCTGAAGCAGCGTGTGTGTGTGAGAGAGTGTGTGTGTGTGTGTGTGTGAGAAAGAGAGTGTGTGTGTGTCTGTGTGTGTGTAGCAAGGTGTTTCTGCGCAGTGTACCAGGGGCACGGAGAAAAGTTGTCGTACCATAGGCACGAGGAGTGTGTCTGTGTGAGTGTGTCCCAGCATTTTCCTGATATTTTGAGTGTTTTCATAATAAAAATGAATTCCTATCAAACGTCACAGCTTTGCTGTTAGTGAAAAACTTCGTTTTCAGAGTAAAAACATGTTTGAGTTCATGAGCTCCTCGTGTTTCATGTTTCTCGGCTGCATTTGTATTAATGACCCTGCAGGGACGGCTGCAGCTGACTCTTTGATTTCTTTAGATTTATTACATCAGTTTGTCTTAACAATGGAAAAAAAAATATATATATATATTATTTTTTATATACATATGTGTAAAAAAATAAAATCAGAAGATAATTAAGTATTTACATTTTACACACGTGTGTGTAAAATGTAAATACTTAATTATCTTCTGATTTGTAGAAGTGAGTCTTTAAAATGTTAAATATTCTCTTGTTTAATTAAAAGTTTTAAAAACAATAATTAAGCAATTGTAAAACATTTTAATAGATTAAATAATAAATTATGAGAATCACTGTTTATATTTTTATATTACATTTAAAGTAATATAAAAATATAAACAAATCTGAGTTTGGTCCTGTCACAAACGTCTTCACTGTATTTAAATATGATCAGCTGTTATGTTTTACCTAAAATGCCACAAAACTAAAACGTTCAAATCTAATTTTAAAATTCTCTTATAAATGACCAATTAATACTTCAAGATTATTAATTAATCAAAAGTTAAAATTAATTAAAAGTTTTGTACTAAAATATAACATCATGATCTGTGTTTGACTGTTTTAATGTTGTGTGTTATGACCTGTATGATTTCTAAGTGCTGCTGTTTTCTTCCATCACATGTCGGTGTTGAGCTGTAGGGATGATGAAGGTGTGGCAGCAATAATGAGACGGCTCCTGCACTAGTCTGGGCGTCCGCAACACTTTTGTTTAACTGTGTTGTTTCTTTGTTGTAGATTTGTGGGATCATTAAAATATCTGTCTGTCTAAAACAGCTAACAGATCATCTGCAGAGGAATGGTTTAGTTGAAGAGTTTCAGTCAGGTTTCAGAGTTCATCACAGCACAGAAACAGCTTTAGTGAAGGTTACAAATGATCTTCTTATGGCCTCTGACAGTGGACTCATCTCTGTGCTTGTCCTGCTAGACCTCAGTGCAGCGTTCGATACTGTCGACCATAATATCCTATTAGAGCGATTAGAACATGCTGTAGGTATTACAGGTACTGCACTGCAGTGGTTTGTATCATATCTATCTAATAGACTCCAGTTTGTGCATGTAAATGGAGAGTCCTCTTCACACACTGAGGTTAATTATGGAGTTCCACAGGGTTCAGTGCTAGGACCAATTCTGTTTACATTATACATGCTTCCCCTAGGCAGCATCATTAGAAGACATAGCATACATTTTCACTGCTATGCAGATGACACCCAGCTCTATCTGTCCATGAAGCCAGATAACACACACCAATGAGTTAAACTGCAGGAATGTCTTAAAGACATAAAGACTTGGATGGCCACTAACTTTCTGCTTCTTAATTCAGATCAAACTGAGGTTATTGTACTCGGCGCTGAAAAGCTTAGAAATATGGTATCTAAGCAGATTCTTACTCTGGATGGCATTACCTTGGCCTCCAGTAACACTGTGAGGAACCTTGGAGTCATTTTTGACCAGGATATGTCCTTCAACGCACATATTAAACAAATATGTAAGACTGCTTTCTTCCATTTGTGCAACATCTAGGGCAGGGCGATATGGCCAAAAATATTTATCACCATATATATTTTAAAATTTGCGATAACGATATAACTGACGATAAAATTTCTGTGAGACAAAATACAACTCCACAACTTTACTAGCGCAAAAACCCCCCCCCATCGATTTATTTTTCTTAAACAAGCAGCTGTTTTTTATGTGCATTAAAGCTATATAAAAATTTAACAGTGCAAATGCTAATTCCTTGCTTAAAGTTTAACCAAAAGGCATTTCCAGTAGAAATGTGCTGACATATCCTGAGCATAACCATGTATGATATCCACTGAAGTTAAAAAGAGCTGCTTTGCAACATTAAACTGCAGTGTGCCAAATAAAAACGTCAAATCTCAGATATCTCCGTCAGAACATGCTATATCATGTTTAGGTAACTAGCGAAACTAGCAAGCTAACTTCCGCTAACTTCTAACTCCGTTAAATGCAATGAATTCTGTTTTCATGGATGCCTGGATGTTAAACACCATAGTTACACCTGGTAAAGCAGCAATGCTGATCGTTTTATTAAAGATGAAAGAATTTAGACAGTTTTTAACTCTCAGTGATGATCGTTTGACTTCGGGACGTTAAAGGACGGAGTTTAGGACCCAGATTACTCCCAGATTTACGAGCGCGTTAGTCCAACAAATACAGCAATAACGTATTAACGGACCGCTTGCATGTTCTACAAAAAAAATGTGCTTTGTTGTGTACCTGACGGACAAACCAGTTAAGTTGCACCATTTTTACAAACCAATTCTGGTTCATCCGTTTCACTCAACAATCTGCTTTCCCCATTCTCATTCTCCGTTGCCGCCGTGCTTTTTCGTCACTGCGCATGCGCGTTCTACCCATATTCTATCGCGATATTTCATTTTCTTATCGTTGCCTAGCACCGGTACTACCGCGAACGGTATAATATGGCCCAGCGCTAGCAACATCTCTAAAGTTAGAAATATCCTGTCTCAGAGTGACGCTGAAAAACTAGTTCATGCATTTATTACTTCCAGGCTGGACGACTGTAATTCATTATTATCAGGATGTCCTAAAAACTCGCTGAAAAGCCTTCAGCTAATCCAAAATGCTGCAGCAAGAGTCCTGACAGGGACTAGAAAGAGAGAGCAGATTTCTCCAGACTTTTTGAATCTGTTGATGACATCGGAGGTCAGTTAACTTCAGTTAGGTTGGTAAGAAGAAGTTTCATGAAAGTATATTTAAGCAGTTCATCACGTACAGACCATTCCTGATTGTGAAACTCTGAAATGAATCTTAGAGTTTGGTCTTGTCTGTCTTACATTTTTCGCACAGTCACGTGTTTCCTTGTGTGAATTTTCCTGCCACCTAAAAGCCGTTACTCCGTTTGTGCTCGCTAGCTACATGCTAGCACTGCGAGAGCAGAGAACTTTAAAGTTATCATTAAAATCTTCAAACGTGCCCTCTGCTGATGGATGAGCGGTTTCACTCCTCCTCTGCTGTTTGAGCTCCTTGTTTTACTCCTGTGGGAGATTCAGTCACACAGATTCATGCCTCCTCCAAACAGCGAGGCTGCACTGCTGTAAAGTCTTCAGTGTGCTAAAGAGGCCATGGTATTCCTGAGTGCAGCGTAAGCAAACACAAAGACATAGAAGGTCTGAAGAAGGCTGAGCAGCTCCTACAGGCAGCCTCCTCGGTCTGCTTCCTGCAGCCGAAGCGAGCTCACAGGGATCCTGGAAAAAGCAGAAGAACGAGATGAAAGAGTCGCGTTGAGCTTGAAGACTGGAAGGAAACAATGGACTAACTTCCTGTGAAGAAGACACGTTTAAAGTGAAACCGTGCACAGCAGTGTGTGACAGATTTGTCAGATAGAGTTTCAGCAGCAGGAAACGTGTTGGAGCTCCGTCTGACCTCCTCCTCTGTTCCTCCTGCAGACATCCTTTATTCCCGCTGCTCGCACTCATCTTTGAGAAATGTGAACTGGCAACCTGCACGCCGAGGGAGAGCGCCGTGGCCGGGGGAGACGTCTGCTCCTCCGACTCCTTCAGCGAGGACATCGCCGTCTTCTCCAAACAGGTGAACAGGAAGCGGTGGTTCATGTCTGAGGTGGGCCCTGCACATCAGGGTGGAGGGTTGGTGGAGAAGAAGCTAAAGCTCCAGCAGCAGTGAGGCTGGAGCTTTAGCTTCTGCCACCTGAGAGCGCCTCGTTCATCCCACCTGCTGTGAGACAAAGCAGGACTTTTAAACACTTCAGAGCGTTTTAAGCCAAACGTGATGAGCGTACATCACCGGGATGCGCTCTGCAGGTTCCCATAATCATCCTCGTTTGTCTGTGTGTGCAGATCCGCTCGGAGAAGCCGCTGTTTTCATCCAACCCAGAGCTCGATAACTTGGTGAGTCATTTAAAGTAGCTGCAGGTAGCACACTTTCAGCCTAACTGGCCTCTGAGCTTCTATAAAGCCCAGTCATGTAGTCCCGGGGGGAATACCAGCACTTCAAAGGTAATGGGATCATGCTGGAACATCTGGGATTTCATGTCATGTATCTGACAGTGCAGCAGAGCAGCGGTGCAGTGTGTATGTTTGTGTGCATTTATGATTTGTGTTTCTCACAGATGATTCAGGCGATCCAGGTGCTGCGTTTCCACCTCCTGGAGCTGGAGAAGGTCGGTCTAACTAACCAACATCTGCTGCGATTGCAGCGTGCCGCTAATCCCGGCTTAATCCTGAGCACGGCGCCGTCGTCGCTGTGTTTGATTTCAACGTTACCGATTTTGTTTGCTTACTGTGGTTCTTTGGTGGTGAAAGCATCTCCATGTCAGGCCTCTGCATCTTATTTCCAGGTTCACGAGCTCTGCGATAACTTCTGCCATCGATACATCAGCTGTCTGAAAGGCAAAATGCCGATCGACCTGGTCATAGACGACGGAGACGGAAACAAGTCAGACGGCGAGGACTTTGTCAGGTCGTCGGGGAACCTCGTGGATCGGGTGAGCTCGCTCAACTCGTGAGGCACAAAATACATCGTCTCTAGAAACGCTCCTGTACGTCCTTCCTGTTCCCCAGAGTTCATGTTCATGTTTGAGTGCTTCCATGTTTCAGCCTTTTTAAGCTTTTAAGGTTTCACTTGAATAGTTTTTGCTGGTTTTCTTCTGTGTGTATAAATAGTCCAGGCTTCCCGTTATTCTGAGTCTTAAACCCTCGCACGAACCTGACGGCGTGAAATATCTTAACCACGATGAGTGCGCGTTAAAGCAGC